GTTCCCCTAATTTTCTTCCTTCCAAATTGGTTGCTATCAAGGACCTCTAGAGGTCACTTGAAATTAAGGTGCACGGTGCAGTCATTGTTACAAAAAACAAAGTAATGCAGTGGATATATATGCACTGTTCAAATATTATCACACTTTAATGAGGGTCAAAGTACTAGTCAATTAATAGATAACAAGCAGAAAATATGCACGTACTGAGATATCAATTGGTACAGTTATTTGTCAACTTACCCCTTGTAAAGACCCTGAGGACCTTCACTGAGGAGTACCTGAAATCACAGTTATAGGAATGTTAGATACAATTAGAGAAGCTTAAGCTCTTACAAAAATTGTAAGTGACTATGCTATGCTGAAAGAGAAAGAGCCAGCACCTGATATGCACAATGTAGTCCACTTCTGTAACTCCCAGCACTCTTAGATTCTCGTTGCAACATAAGACGAGTTTTAACCATATCAATGGGCGCCGTTATGAGGGTGCTCACAGCGCCTGCTAATGTACTTGAGCTTCATACCATGCAAAACAAGAATCGAGTGAAGGGGTTGAAATAAAAACCATTGTGTAGTACGGGAAGTAAATTTTAAGGAACATATTTCATGCAACTGAAAAGAGCTTGTTTGAGATAGCTAAAAATTAAATTAATTCAACAATCAATTACATAATTTATATGTATAATCGATTACGCTGCAATCAATTATAATTGAAATCAATTTTTGTTTGGTAAGGCTGCTAAATAGTGTTGTGGAACTAATTAAATTTTTTTAGGCGCAACCTTGCAACAAAAAAGCAGCTTTTATGAGGTAAAAAGTATGAAAAATATCTTAAAGAGAACAAAAAGCAGTCGAATAATCATAATCTACAAAATTTCCATATTCAAGAGAGAAACTTTTTGCAAATAAATGGATTACAGATTTCAGCTACCGCTTCCAAATGCAGCATTTTCACAACAGCTTATTATCAAGATTATAGGTTGTCCCAAACATGCTCCAATTAGCTCCCATAGTTTTAGGTTTACACACAATGCTACCTATAGCTCGGACATAGCTAGGAGGCCAACCCAGGTCCAAGCCGCCCAAAATTAGGTAAAAAAAAACATCTCTTCATATGTAATATCTTTTGTGACAAAAACTTTTAGAATTATTTTTGAGAAAGTTCCCTGGATAGGACCAAACCAAAATAGGACCACCATTGTTTTCCCAAAAAATGACTCATTCACTCCTAAAAAAGAGACTTTAACCATTTTTAATCTTTCAGCAGGACAAAATAAGTCTTCTTAAGGAATAAAACATAAGTAGTTCTGTTTGTGAGCTTGGTCTATGTTGTATTCCTATAATTGGGCAATTTCAAATTATTTTTCCAACCCACTCCTGATTAAAAAAAATAAGGTCCTGGCTACACCACTGTCCATGGTGGTAATGAAGGAAAGTAAACCTACATGAGATGCAAATTAAATCCTTCCTCAAGAGAAGTGCACTTCAATAATACCTGCATCAATCAAAGAAGCACAGAATAAGTGGTGACTGTGACTTGTGACTTTGTGAGCATTAAAAAAACTACAGTAATGAAATGGGTCTTCGAAAACGGTTCTCAGAAGTTTACGCGTTTGGTTTCATCATAAGTTGCCAATTGAGACGCAGTTAAAGCAGCAGCTCTGGCCATTGCAGGCCCAATTCCTTTCCAAAGAGCAGTGATCCCCTCTTCTGAAGCAATTTTCTGCAGCTCATGAATAGGTCCTCTATTTGATTTCATATTCATCTGTAAACGAACCTGGAGAAACATAGCAGCAGTGAGAAAACCATGAAGCACCACTATGAGGTCATTATCCACAGTCCATATAATGTACCTTTAGTACTTCCACTGGATTAGTCAGTGCTGTGGCAATAGCACCAGAAAATGCTCCAGATGCAATCTTCATTACGATGTTATTTGACTCAAAAGCCATTTCACAGACATATTTGGATGGTTCATATAAGCCTAAACGGAGGCCGCCGTAAAGAACTGACCTCATCAGTGAGGGTGATAGTCCCCGATACAAGGATCTGAACCCTTCATCCCTTACAACATGAGCAGAAAGCTTTCCCTGTATTGCAAAGCAAAAAGCATCTACTAACTTACCTTTGACCTCTAAAATAAGGGGAAACTAGAAAATATTCTTTATTACCATTCCAGTCAAGGGACCTCTCTGCCCAACAAGCTGCATTTGCAATCTCACTTTGAGAACATCTACATCCAAGATCAGCTATTTGAGTTATTAACATGGAGTTTACATTCATCTACATTTGTTACCAATTTATCATCCATGGCCAAAAATCTCAGAAACAAGCAGTGGCAGAGCCATAGTGGTTCTAAAGTGTTCACATGAACACCCTATTTTTTGAAAAACATGTAAGTATCTATATATAAATGAAACATAATTATTTATTACTCTTAAGATTTCTAGTTGTATAAAAGAATTGAACTCCCAAAACTTGAATTCCAAATCCACCACTGGAAACAAGTAAAGTTACATAAGTGAGTAAGTGACTACTAACTGACAATTTCCTTTTAATTTACACACATCATTAATCAAACCACGCACAATTGTGGAAACACCTTAGTATATGAAGTATCTTTCTCTGAGGCTATTGCTGAGTATTAGGCATTTCTTAATCCATAATCTGTATCAATTTATCATCATTGCATATGAAAAAGTAAATTAAAGTTTCATGTGTTCTTAAAGCTTCAGCGCACCAGAATGACCAGATCCTCAATGTGCTGTATTATTCGCCCTCAAATTATTATCTTTTCCTTCGCCATATAGTAGCATACTTCCATAGTTCCAGACCACAATGTTCATATAGTTAAAAACTGAGCATGCATACATTTACAAATGCTAAATGAAACCAGGTTCAATATCAAATTACTGAAGAAAATGACATTTAGGTTCGGGTGTTTGTACCTAGAGGGTGAGTAACGCCAGTTGCAACGGCAACGGAGATCCCACTGGTACCGAAGTGGTACAAAACATCTGACGTCGACAGGCCCCATTTCGGCCTTTGATTTACCTTCCTATGATCTGAGTGAACACGAAAGGTGCAATCAGTGAGCCGTACAAGAAATTAAAAAATTCAACAAATGATAATCGTGACGAAAGGAAAGCGATGTTTTGCCTGATGCAGAGTCGCCGCCCATTGTTCATTCGTCGCGGTGCTGCTGGTGTGTATGAGGCCGTCGGGAGCCAAATGGAGTAACTGATCCAACCCGCGAGATCTTTTCATTGCGTTTAACAGAAATTTCATTGCTTTTAACAGAAATTTCATTGCTGTTTCGTTGTTAAATGTCAAATACACCCCTAAAACATTGGGTCTACGTGCTAAGGCCAATAATTATTACGAAGTATGTAATAATAAGAAAAACTAGAAACTAAAAACTAATGTTAGCTTACTTGTTTATATTGGGTGAATTTACTCGGAGGATCATTTTAATTATTGAGGTAATGATCTATTTTGTACTCGAAGTTGCATAAAAATAGTCAAATAAGTCCTTTCTGTCCAGTCATCGTCATTTGAGGGGATTGCTGGTGAAAATTTTTGATAAAATTTTTTTAGCATCTTATTCATTAAGTCTAGTTTAGGCATACCAAATTTCAGCTAAAATTTCAATCGGGAAGGCATTCAAATGAATTCTTTAAGATAACTGCACAGTTATCTTCAAGAATTCATTTGAATGCCTTCCCGGTTGAATTTTTAGCTGAAATTTGGTATGCGTAAACTAGACTTAATAAATAAGATGCTAAAAAAAGTTTGTCAAAAAATTCCACCAAGAACCTCCTCAAATGGCGACGGACGGGTAGAGCCTCCTATATAAGGACTTATTTGACCCTTTTTATGCAACTTCGAGTACCAATCTGACTCTTACCTCTTTAATTATTTTTTCATTTTAATTTCTTCTTTGTTTTATTAATAAATACTCTGTATAATTTAAATATAATTTTTTCATAAATCAACAACATCAACCAATTTAACCAACTTAGGTATTACCAAAAGAGCTCTTGTTTAGGTAGACATGGTAGCGTTTTGGTTTTCGACTGGTTGAGTTTCATAAGCTAGGTGAACCGGCCATTTAGCAAACAATAATTTCAGTTGTTTGCATAGTCAAACTCATTAATTATAGTCAAAGAAGCTAAACAAAATGACAGATCGAGCATAATCCAAAGAAGACTTTATTTTTAGCAATTAGATGATTTAACAAAGGGAAAACTGTCAATTTAACCCCCCGTACTACACTGAAAACGTCGATTAGACCCCCGTACTTCATAAACACTCAATTGAACCCTCATACTACTTTAAAGTAATTTAAATGTAACATTTGTTTAGTAATTTTGTGACATGTTATTTAACATCGATATTACGGAGTATTTTAACATTGTGATATGTTTGTAACATTAATTAATATTGTGACATCAGATATGTTTAGGATAATAAAAACTCACACTATTAAAACATTAATCGGACTAGTTTTGATTTGATACTCCTCCGTAGTAAAAAAATCTTCCCATTTTTCTTTTTCTTCTGTAACAAAAAAAAATCATTTCTAAATTTTCTCATCATACATCAATAATTTTGAAAATAATACTCCCCCTGTCTCATTTAAAGGTTCCCGTACGCTATTCTCCGGTCAACGTGCATTGCTTTTAATCTTTTACTTTATATATCGAAAGTTTATGAAATCTAAATTATTTTTTGCAGGATTTGTAACGGTTTTAATGTAGTTTCTAAATATGTAAATTTTATTTTCTAAAAATAATTCTATTAATAACAGGGATCAGTTAACTTTATGGTCAGTCAAACATCGTAAACCGTGTAGGAATCTTAAAGTGGGACGGAGGGAGTACATTATTACAACTACTTTTTTTTAGATTTACTTTACACTGCATCAAATTATTCCATTATTTTCTCATCATATCTTCAATAATTCATATTATTTTTCAATCATTCTTAATCTATCTACTGGCGACAAGAATTGTCATGATGATAAGCTAGTCTTATAATTGTCTAATGGCGCTGTTTTCTCGTTTTTTTCCAGGTGAGTATGGAGACAAGAATTGCAGAACACATCCAGACTCTAGAGAAGGAAAGTTGAACTCGAGCAAGTGCACGAATGACTACAATGATGGAAGAAGAAATGATGATTGTGAACTCTTCACAAATTGCAATAGATGCATTTGATTTTCAAACAACAGTAGTCATGATGCACTCATTCTCCTCTTGAATTATCATCCGAGTGAACGAGTTTCTAGTGTTTACTTTAAAAAACAGTAAACCGAACACTCCAGTTCGCTGGGGGTAAGGTTATCTTGTTTGGTCTCGAATTCGAAACCCGCTAAGCACTTAGGGACAGAAGAGAGATCTTGTTCATGATTCGTCCTAAAAAACATTATTCGGACAATGATAGATATGACAGAAGTACTGAAGTACACCCACCCACTCCTCACCCACAAGCTCCACAGTGACATGTACTCTTAGATAAAAAAATTGCCAGTAAATCAGTAACATAGAGAGGGGAATTTAGTGGCCTGGGAGCGGTGTCGCCGAGAACTTAATTGTAGCTGTGCTTTGTTCTATACGGCAGAGGAGGGCGTGGGCGTCCATCTCATGGTTGAAGGCCTTTTCGCAGGCTACGTACGACGGCGGCAAGTCACCGCTCATCAAGCTTCATGGTATGGTTTTGCAGCTCAGTTATGTACACATTATTCACCTCAGTCCTCGGTAATATAGGCATATGCGAGTTATTAACTGCTTTAATTTTCAATCTTTTAATGAGTACTTTTCAATTTGGCCTCATCTCATTCGTGTTTGATCTATAAATGCTACTCTATTTCAATACAATTTCTTGTAAAAACCAAGAGCTCGTTTGCTAAAATGTTTTTGAGTTTATTAGTTTTATCAATCAACTTTTTCATCAAAGAAATTTTCGATTTCATGCACGGAATTATGTAATAATAAAAAAAAGTTGGATTTAATTTATTTTTTGGCTAAATTAGCTAAGGTGATTGTAGAGAATCATCTTAGCTATATTTTCATATACAAAGTAATTTTTCTTTATTTTATTAATGTAATTTTAAATATTAATAAAACGTTTTTTAAATACAATGTTTTCGTAACTCAATTCAGGCACAAGTCCATCAATTTCAGCCGTGTTAATTAATGCTAAGTTGTGCTATATTTCTTAAAAGTGCTATCATAAGAAAATACGGAGTAAATACACAGTGCGTGCTTTTGCTTATGTCGTGCAGTCGTCCTGATTTATATCAATACTTAAAATATAGAAAATGATTCTTAACAAACAGAGTATAATCCTGGATTTTACTCGGAACAAAGAGATAGAGAAATACATTTGAGTATAATCCTGGATTTATATACTCCCTCGTCCCGCTATGATTGTTCCATTTTACCTTTTCGGTTCGTCCCACAAAGATTGTCTCATATCTTATTTGGTAAAATTTGTGTGGTTCTAAATCATTCTTATTTTTTTCTTACTTTATCAATTCAATATCAACCACATAAACTCACTTTTATTAATAAGCGTGTCACCTTCTCTTATCCCAAACTTAGGGGGACGGAGGTAGTATCTCTTTGTCACCCTTTCTTTTGTATTCTTAACAAACTTATAAAGTTGATCACCCTTTCTTTTGTATTCTTAACAAACTTATAAAGTTGATTATACAAAAAGTAACTACCGCATGGTCAGTGGATGTCAACACATTGGCTGGAATGGCTGCCTAGATTGAAGGTAAGAAAAAGAAAAGAATAGTGATTGCTCATGACTTATGAGTTGTGACACCACAATTCAAGGGCAGTTTATTACTTCTTTCTTTTAAAGTTTGTCCTATATTATTTTTTTCAAACTTTCCTTTTCATTAGTTTTAGAGAAAATAGAAACTAATAATCCAACTTTTTAGCGGTCTTCTACAATAGTCCCACCTTTTCGTTATTCAAGATAATCCAACCTTTGCATCCCATCTTCATTCGCTGGTCCCTGACCAGTTAATAGTTAATGACATGTTATTCCAAGTTATTTTCTTATCTTTGCAAAATATTATCTTTGTGAAAAGTGAGATTTATGGTATAATGGTTTACAAAGATAAAAAAATAACTTGGAATAGCAGATCATCAACTGGTCAGGGACCAGTGAATGAAGATGAGGTGCAAAGGTTGGATTATTTATGAATAATGAAAATGTGAGACTATTGTAAGAAGACCGCTAAAAGGTTCTATTATTAGTTTCCATTTCCCCTTAGTTTTAAAATAAACTTGTTTTTTCCTTATGGACAAAAAATTTGTGGTTCATTACATTTTATTCTTCTCATTTATGTGTACAACTTTCAACCACACAATTCTTAGTCATTTAAATCCTGAACAAAACTTTATTTGAAAAATAGAAGTAGATGACATTCCATCCGTAAGAGCCCCCAACACCGGCCGAACAATTAACTGAGAAAATGTAAATTGAATTTTAATCACATATCAGATAGCGGGTGAGACTTTGACCTCAAATTTTGTAGAGACTAGGCTCTATGCATTTTGGGAGAGGAGTAATATAATTGTAGTGGATTGGTTCCACCACTGTCCACACAATAATAATTCACACTCACAAAACTTCATCTTCTCTTTCTCTAACAAAATATACTTTATACTAATTTAGCAGACAGTAAGAAGAAAAGAACATGTTCAAGCTCATTCCAAGGTTTGTTCACTTCTTATATGCTTTTATTGTCATAAATTGATTAATATAAGCAATGATGTGAGGACCATCACTGGTATTTCAGCATCCAGGAATTGTAATGAGCAGATCACGATGATAAGTTTTCCAAGTCGCAATTTTGTATTTTTCAGCTTCACATTTATTGAAATTTTACTTAACAACTCTTCTTGTCAACAATTCTTTACAGGGAGCTCTCAATCTCTAGATCATTCCTTCTGCAGGCATTCAACAGGAAATTCTCTATCCTGTCAGAGAGGCGAGTGGTTAGATCTAGCAATTCTTACTATTGATATTTATTTATTGATTTACTTATAGATGGTTTTGTGGCTAATCAAGATACTGATACTGAACAAAAATGTGATTTTTTATGTACAGTGACTCAGGTAACAACTTAAGTAATTTTCTTGAGTCTAGTTGGAGTCTTTTGAAAGAGTGTTGGTGGAATGTTGAACTTTTGGCTGATTGTAACTGCAACGTTTGTTGGACATTTTGCTTTCAAAAAAAGTAACAACTTAAGTAATTTCTAATGATTGTGATTATATGCAATTTTATACAGTAACATATGTACAGTTTCCAAAAAACAAACATATGTACATTTATCGTAAACATAGTTACATTTTTATTAGAAAATTTTATTTTAATAATATATTAGAAAATATCTATATTTATATGAGTGTACATACACACACATATTTATATTTCAAAACAGAATATAACAGTGTATTTTTCAATATAGTTTTAGTGTTTTACCATTGGTATTTTAGACGTAGTAATAATAATTTATTCGTTTCCAAAAAACTATCTATCTTTTTCATTTTAGAACCTCATTTAATTCTGCTTCCCAATAATCAGTAATAACTTTATTGTGCTCATCATTTCTATTTTAAAAAATTACAAAAACATGGAAATTTGAATATATTCTCTGAAAGTTTCCATGCTTCATAAATTTAAATCTAAACTAGGTGTTTAATTAATGGATGAAGGAAGCTTGAAGGTAAGGTAGCCTTGATTACTGGAGCCGCATCTGGTATTGGGAAAGTAACTGCAACCAAATTCATCAGCAATGGCGCTAAAGTCATCATTGCAGACATCCAAGAGCAGTTGGGCAGAGATACCGCCACGGAGCTCGGAGAAAACGCTGCCTTCATCGCCTGTGACGTCTCCAAAGAATCTGACATCTCCTGCGCTGTTGATTTCGCAGTGTCTTGCCATGGTAAACTCGACATCATGTACAACAATGCTGGCATTCCGTGCCGGACCCCTTTTAGCATTGTTGACTTGGACATGGCGGAGTTTGACCGTGTGCTGTCAATCAACGTTCGCAGCGTGGTGGCGGGGATCAAGCACGCTGCCCGTGTGATGATCCCACGCCGTTCGGGCTCCATATTGTGCACGGCCAGCGTGACAGGGGTACGTAATTTTATGTTAAGTAACGTGTTTCCAACGAATTTCCGAAACGGAAACATACTCTTTCCCGAGAGTTTTTCTCTGCATAGAGGATAACCATCTTACCATCAAGTTGAAATCTGCTATATCACTTATATGTGGATAATTAAATTAACAGGTAATGGGAGGATTAGCGCAACACACATATAGCATATCCAAGTCCTCTGTCATTGGAATAATGAAATCTGCCACAGCTGAACTATGCAAACACGGGATTCGGGTGAACTGCATTTCGCCCTACGCCATTCCAACAGCCTTTTCCATACCAGAAATGAAGGAATACTTCCCCGACATCGATGACCGGGTGCTTGCCGGGATGCTACACAAGTCAGGGGTGCTGGAAGGAGCTCATTGTGAACCTAGTGACATCGCCCACGCCGCCGTTTATTTGGCCTCCGACGATGCCAAATATGTCAGCGGGCAGAATCTGGTGGTTGATGGTGGTTTTACATCAATCAAAACTTTGAACCTCCCCATGCCTGATCAGATTCAATAAGCTGCATGGTGATCCGAAGATGTATATTAAGAGGGGGATTTCACTAACACATACCATCTTCAATTACAAGAATCATGCCTTTATATCACGTCAGAATATACAAGAGTAAATTACTCTTGTTCTTATTTCAGTTAGATTAGAAATGAATCAAGTCTCCAACTGCAGTCCCTAAAGTGCGATTTGGAATTTGAAAATCAATTGGATTTATGACCTACTTTTGAATGTGTAGACTTTATAATCAATATTAAACGGAATAATCACTTTTGATATTGAATGGGGGAGTATATGTTGCAGGATGAATCACAGATGATTGATCTTGCAAGTTAATCTGTGGAACTGGATAATAAAATGGAGAAAACCAGTTCGAACTCAATTAACTGTAATGGAAGATTTAGAATTGATAGAGATAGAGAAGATGGAGTAGAATAGTATTGATCTCAATCGTATCTGTTTACAGAGTATTACATTCTTTTATAGGCTAATATTGTAACTGAATTGTAACTAACAGATTACAACAGATCGAATATAGTTTTGCTGATGTGGCTAAATGCCTAAATCAAGCTGCACTGCATCAAAACTCCCCTGCATCAACTGCTTTGTCCTCAAAGCTGAAAAGATGGAAACTTTTGGACAAATTCTTCAGCCCACATCCAAGAAGCTTCTTCTTTAGGTCTTCCTTGCCACAGAACCAGAAACTGAGTTGCAGCCATATTCCTCCTTTTTACCATTCTCCTTTCCATAATTTCTTCAGGGACTTTTGGTAAACTAGTATCATGAAAAAATTGTGGAAGATTAACTGTTGCAGCAGTAGGGTCAATGCATTTCTTAAGCTGACTAACATGAAACACATTATGGATTTGAGATTCCACTGGTAATGCTAACTTATAAGCAACCTTTCCAATTATATCAATAATCTGAAAAGGTCCAAAATACTTTGGAGCCAATTTAGCATTTGATCTACTAGCCACAGATATCTGTCTGTACATTTGTAATTTCAAATATACCCAATCACCTATCTGAAATACTCTTTCAGTTCTATGCACATCAGCTAATTGTTTCATTCGGTTCTGTGCTCTTTCCAATTGAAACTGCAGTTCTTTCAACATGTTTTCCCTTTGGATCAAACTTCTATCTACTGCTTCATTAGCTGATTCCCCAGGTAAATAAGGTAGGTGAAGTGGTGGAGGTTGACCAAAGAGCACTTCATAAGGGGTAGTTTTAGTAGCTGTATGAAAAGAAGTAATGTACCACCATTCGGCTAATGGTAACCACTTACTCCATGTTTGTGGGTGAGTGTTGCACATACACCTCAAGTAGGTCTCAAGACATCTATTGACAACTTCAGTTTGTCCATCCGTTTGAGGATGATATGCAGTAGATTTAAGTAGCTCTACACCTTGTAATTTGAATAATTCAGTCCAGAAATTGCTAAGGAACACTGAGTCTCTATCACTTACAATTGATTCTGGTAAACCATGAAGCTTAAAAACATTATCCATGTAAGCTTGTGCTACTTCAATTGCAGAAAATGGATGTGATAAAGCTAAAAAATGTGCAGCTTTACTTAGTTTATCCACAACCACCAAAATTACTTCTTTACCGTTGGATTTTGGCAACCCTTCAATAAAATCCATAGATATAGTAGCCCAAACTTTTGTAGGTACAGGAAGTGGTTGTAGAAGTCCTGGATATGCAGCAGGATCATATTTACATCTTTGACATACATCACACGCTCTAATGTACCTCTGAACATCCTTAAACATGTTTATCCAATAGAATAGGGATTTAAGCCTTTGAATAGTAGAATCCCTACCAGAATGCCCTCCAATTGGTGAATCATGAGCCCAATATAGCAACTGTTTCTTGAGTTCCCCATCTGCACCTACAACCAGTTTATTTTTTCTTCTAAGTTCATCATTCTTCCAACTGTAATACATGTGAGATGCTGGGTTAGCCTTTAATTCTTCAATTATCTTCTGTAAAGCAGTATCCTTCTCTTGAGATAGCCTTATTTGTTGTAGCATATCAACCTGGATTTGATTTAGAATCACATGAAATAACTGAGAACAAGACATCCCTTCCTTTCTTGAAAGTGCATCAGCAACCTTATTATCTTGTCCCCTTTTATACTGTATTTCAAAATCATACCCCATTAGTTTAGCTACCCAATCTTGCTGGCAATGATTGGTGATCCTTTGTTCCAACAGATATTTGAGGCTCTTTTGGTCAGTCTTGATGATGAAGTGTTTATTAAGCAAATAAGGACTCCATTTCTGTACTGCAAATACTACTGCCATCAATTCCCTTTCATATGCTGATTTGATTTGATTCTTTGGACCAAGAGCCTTACTGACAAATGCAATAGGATGATCTTCTTGCATAAGTACTGCACCTATACCATACCCAGAAGCATCAGTTTCTATGACAAATGTTTTGTCAAAATTTGGAAGAGCTAGTACTGGTGCAGTACACAGTAGCTTCTTCAAATGTTCAAATGCTACTGTAGCTTCCTCATGCCAAGAGAACTTATCTTTCTTTAAAAGATCTGTTAAGGGCCTTGCTATCTGACCATATCCCTTCATAAATCTTCTATAGTAACCAGATAGCCCCAAAAACCCTCTCAATTGTTTTAGAGTTTTAGGAATAGGCCAACTCTTTACAGCCTCAACCTTCTGTGGATCTGTGCTTACTCCTTCAGCAGATATAAAATGACCTAAGTATTCAACCTTAGTCATTGCTAAAGCACATTTACTCTTCTTAAGGAATAATGTGTTCTCCTTAAGAATCTGAAAAACCTTTCCCATATGCACAATATGCTCTTCCATTGTTCTGCTATAGATGAGTATATCATCAAAAAATACAAGGATAAATTTTCTGAGAAATGGCTTAAAAATATGATTCATAAGCCCTTGGAAAGAAGATGGGGCATTAGTTAGCCCAAAAGGCATAACTACAAACTCATAATGGCCTTCATGAGTTTTAAAAGCTGTTTTGTGAATATCTTCTTTGTTCATTCTCAGTTGATGATAACCACTTCTCAAATCCAGCTTAGAAAACACAACAGCCCCTCCCAATTCATCCAGTAAATCATCCAATAATGGTATTGGAAATTTATCCTTTATGGTTTGTTTATTCAGGTCCCTGTAGTCAATACATAAACGCCAAGATCCATCCTTCTTCCTCACTAAAACTACAGGTGATGCATATGGGCTGCTACTGTTCTGAATGATTCCCAATTCCAACATCTCTTTAACCAGCTTTTCAATTACTCCTTTTTGCATAGATGGGTACCTGTATGGACTTTTATTAACAGGTTGAGATCCAATTGTGAGAGGTATTCTGTGATCAAATTCACCTCTAAAAGGAGGTAACCCAACTGGTTCCTCAAAAATGCTAGAGTACTTCTCTATCAATTTGTCAATTTCCTTATTTTGATCATGAATCCTTACTTGAACAGATAATAGAGTAGGGTAGCTTGGAGATAGTACCTTATCATGATCAATAAAATCTGATAACCGTATCATAGCTAACTGACTGCTTCCCTCAGGTATAAGTTTCTGGCATTTCTGAGATGAGATGATTTTAATTTTGTTGATGTTATCTGAACCTCTTAGTACATGCCTCTTTCCATGCACCTTGAATTCCATTAGCAACTTCTTAAAATCCCAGTTTATTGGACCCAATGTTGATAACCATTGAATACCTAGCACAATATCACAACAGCCCAAAGGTAATATCATGTAATCTGCTGTGAATGTGGTATTATGGATCTTCCACTGAAAGCCTTTGCATATGTTGGAAACCTTCATCTTATTACCATCTGCTACGGCTACACACATAGGCTTAATCTCCTCCATTTTACATCCCATTCTCTTAGCAGTATTTTCATCAATGAAGTTATGAGTGCTGCCACTATCTATCAGAATATGCAATGGTTTGTTATTAGCATATCCTGTAACCCTCATTGTTTGAAAGTGAGGTAACCCAGTCATAGCATTCATAGAAATGCAGGCATCCATTTCTACTGGGATATACTCTTCTTCCACCTCTTGTTCTTCTTCCCCTTCAATATAGAACAATTGTGGTTTCTTGTGTTTAGCTGCATAATGTCCAGGAGTATATGGATCACCACAGTACATACATAATCCTTTTGACTTCCTTTCAGTCATTTCAGCTGGTGTAGGCAGTTTGTGTGGTTGTTCTTGATACACAGGTGTAGATGTTTTTGCTGTGAAAGTTCTGGAACTTGGTGTGGGTAACAATGATGATGGTTTATGATTAGCAGCAGGAACAAACAGCTGTTTTGGTTTATATTCCTTAGTGCTTTCATGCAATTTAGCCAACCTGGCCGCATACTGAATTGAAGTAGGTTTAAACATCCTAACATGCATCTTAGTATCATGTTTGAGTCCGTTAACAAAACAGCTCAATTTATGCTCATCAGACAATTTAAGTCTAGTTAAAATCATTTCGAACTGCTCCAGGTAATCATTCACAGATGCTTCTTGCCTTAAAGACATCAATTCAGCCATAGGATCATCAAATGTTTTTCCAAATCTTTCAAGAATTAACTGTTCATAGTCCTCCCACAAGAGTATATCATTATTGCCTCTATCCTTCATTAATGCATAGTGCCATTGTAGTGCCTTTCCATCTAGATGCATAGATGCTAGCAAAACCTTGACATGTTCTTGAGTTTTATCAATAGTGAAAAACTGCTCACATTTATACAGCCATTCCTTCACATTTTCTCCATTGAACTTAGGAAAATCAACTCTAGTGCATCTAGTAGTAAAATAGTCAGATCGATGATTATTACCAGGCATTAAAGGTTGATCGTGTACACCAGAACTGGTAGCAGTTTGATTACTTTGCACCAGAACAGTCAAATTGGCAAGCATTTGCTCCAGTTTTGCAAATTTTTCATCATTTTCAGCAAACTTCTTATTCATCACTTCATCTACTTCTTTGATCGTTGGTGCCATTAGGTTCGATCAATTCCCAGTTTCTTGAAAAGAATTGGCAGCAGATTGATATGAGTCGTCTCTGATACCAATGTTGCAGGATGAATCACAGATGATTGATCTTGCAAGTTAATCTGTGGAACTGGATAATAAAATGGAGAAAACCAGTTCGAACTCAATTAACTGTAATGGAAGATTTAGAATTGATAGAGATAGAGAAGATGGAGTAGAATAGTATTGATCTCAATCGTATCTGTTTACAGAGTATTACATTCTTTTATAGGCTAATATTGTAACTGAATTGTAACTAACAGAT